ATAACCTTTAAAACATGATGAATAGATCCAGGAGACCAGGGGAAGACCCAGGACACGCTGGAGGGTCTGGGGTCTTCCCCAGACCCTTATTAAAAGCACGGAATTAATTTCCACTGCTATGCAGATGACACACAGCTTTATCTGTCGATGAAGCCAAATCAGACGGATCAGCTAGAAAAGCTCAGTGCCTGGTAAAGGACCTTAAAATGTGGATGACTCTTAACTTCCTACTTCTCAACCCGGAGAAGACAGAAGTGATCCTACTCGGTCCGAAGCGCCTGCGTGACTCCCTCACTAACCAGATGGTTACTCTCGATAATGTCAGTATAATACCCAGTAACACTGTGAGGAATCTTGGAGTCATTTTTGACCAAGAACTCTCCTTCAAGGCTTATATAAGCCAAGCAACTAAAACGGCGTACTTCCACTTACGGAACATCGCTAAAATTAGGAATTTCCTTCCTAAAAGTGACGCAGAAAAACGTATTCACGCGTTTGTCACCTCAAGGCTCGACTACTGTAACGCTTTACTGGCAGCGTGCCCTAAAGCCTCTTTGAAGAGCTTCCAGCTCGTTCAGAATACAGCAGCTAGGATCTTAACAGGTACCAAAAGGAGGGAGCACATAACTCCGGTGTTAAAATCACTCCACTGGCTCCCTGTGGAGTACAGAATAAAGTTTAAAATCCTTCTCTTAACATATAAAGCCATAAATGGCTTGGCTCCTTCTTATCTCCAAGACACGTTAGTGTCGTATCAACCAGGTCGAGCGTTGCGCTCACAAAACGCCAGACGTCTGGTGGTCCCTAAGGTCTCAAAGGTCACTGTTGGTGGCAGAGCATTTAGCTACCAAGCTCCTTTACTGTGGAATCAGCTTCCCATTTATGTTAAGGAAGCAGATACGGTCTCCACATTCAAGGCCAGGCTTAAAGCACTTTACTTTAATATAGCATATAATTAGGTAATATATGGTGTATATATTATATATATATGCTGTATTATGTTATATATTATGTTATATATTATACAATAATGTATTGTGTTATGTTGTATATTATGTTATATATTATGCTGTATGTTATGTTGTGTATTATATATGATATATATGGTATGTATGGTATATGTGATGTATATGATATATAATATATAGTTAGGTTTGCTTGGATCGGTTTGCACACCTGGTGTGCAATCCATGAATCTCTTTATTCAAGGCTAGGTTTAAAACAGTCCTCTTTAGTTTAGCATATGGTTAGGAAGGTAAGACTCAGGGAAGGTTAAACTCCTCAGACTGTCAGTCAAGCTGCATAGGGAGTCAGTTTGCTGGGAGAAGTATGGTAACTTGAGCACTATCCTCTCCTCCTTCCTACTTTATCTACTTTATCTGTTAGCACTTTTAGGATTCTGACTAGTTTGTTCATTGCTATTCACCCGTTGTCCCATTGTCTGTTTCATGGTACGATGACGGGATCTCTGAGCCTGGCCTCTTCCATCTACACCTGCGGACTGCCCCGCCCGACCCGCCTGGGAGTGCTTCAGTCCTGCACCAGACCTGTCCACGTTCAGCGGCCACTGGTCCACGTTCTGTAGCTAGTTTAGGTCCTAGATCATTAGCCTGTCCGTCCGGAGGAGCGGATCCCTTTCTCAAATGGGTCTCCCTCCCTGTGGGTTTCCCTAGTTCTCCCCAAGGTTTCTCACTTTTTCCCACTGGGTTTTTAAAGAGTTTTTCCTTGTCGATGCAGGAGGGTCTTGTTGGACAGTTAGTGTCCAACAGGAAGGATTGGTGATGATCAGGACACTTTAGCATTCTACAACATGTATGGACATTTTCTTCTGTGTGTGCTTTATATTCTTCATGTGTTTTATCTGTTGATTCTCTGACCTGTGTTGGTGATTTCAATGGTTTTGTTAAGTCCTCTGAGATGACTTCTGTTGTGACCTAGGGCTATACAAGAATAAATTGTATTGTATTGTATTCAGGATTCCCCCAGATGAGCCGGAGAAAGTATGTGTGGACAGATATCGGGCGACGTGACTTTGCAACGGATAGAGCAGAAGCAAATGCACAAATGGTACTTAGTCTGGTCTTCTGTCGGTGAAAACCACAAACAGAAGAATTTAGGTATCCTTTAAATCAGACATTCCAAAAGTCAGTCACACCGCGGCCCCCTTAAACATCTGATTTGCGTCTGGGTGGTCCCCCGAGATAATAACCAAGAAGACGACGTTAAAAATAGGTTCTTCTCGTTATTTTATGTGGGAGAAATAGCCTCTGCTACAAACATGTAAATGACACACATAATGAACACAAACATTTTAATTTTACAAACAAAATATTTTTTATTTAACATGCAATAGTTATATAAAACTATTTTTTTTGATGACCTCCCGCAGCCCCCCTGCTATACCCTTGCGGCTGCGGACCCCACTTTGGGAGACACTGCTTTAAATGAAACATTAACATTAAGTCTGAGTGAGTAGGTTCACTTATTTAAGGACAAGGCATATTACAAAAAACAAGACAAAGCAAAATACTAAATATGCAGGAAAGAAGCCGGGGATCTTTTGCATCTTTAGTCCTCTGTTGTATCAGGACCACACAAACTGCACAACACACAGATACACACACACATACACACACAAAGAAGAGCAAACAGCCACACCGACCCCATCACAATACCTTAGCCTTTTATGTACAGTGGTGTCATCACCTGTAAAGTTTGAAAAAGTCAGCATTCCTTCAGTGGATTTTCGGCTGATCCTCTCCGCTCCGGTCTGGACCAGTGTAAAGTATCACCACCAAGCCTCAGCGTTCCAAGATGGCGCCGTAGTCAAATGGTTTGTGGTCAGTGGCGCATGTGCCGGCACGGTCGCTGACATACAGGTATTAGCGGAACGCGCCTGGAACTCGCTATATTTGGGCATCGTCTGGTCCTCCCTGTTCTGGAGGACCAGATAGATCCATGATCACCACCCTGAATATCTCAGCCTTCAAAATTAGTAACATATTACTTCAATAATTCTCGATTTATCTACAGCTGTATACAAGTAGAATAGAAGCAGAAGAATGCATTTATTTGCAATTTGCAGTAAAACCACATTTGAATAACTGTGCAAGAATACCCCAGTGTACACCCCAGGTACTGCATACATCTCTGTCCACTGTGTGAGTATACGGGGTTATAACTTCTCCTACTGTTGTGTAACTAGTGATGCAACACTGACATTTCTTCATCGTGAGACGAGTAGAGAATGTCTCAATCTTCGTCTCAAATACCCGCCTCTAAAAACCACATCCACTGGACCTCACTGCAAAAAGAGATTCAAAACTGCTCAAATTTGGCAAAATGTCTTGATTTGAGCACATTCTGACTGCGCCTTAAAACAAGATTTTCCAAAGGGACAAAGCAAAATGATCTTGTTTTATAAAGATACAAGAAAAGTCTTCAAGCAACATTTTTTTTAAATAAGATCTAGGAGAATCTAGTTTTAACACAGTCAGAATGTTTTTATCGGATTTTTTTGCAGTGCAGGTGCAGAGAGGTGCCTTCTTCCACTTCTGCTACTGCTGTGATATCAAACCACACACACACGCACACACACACACACACACACACACACACACACAAGTACGGCGCAAAACAGGAACTGAATTGGGATAAAAAATAAAGTTGTCACAAACACGTCCTGCACTCGGCACACTGCGTTCTATTGTCTGACTGCCACATGGAGAAGTGCTCTCACTGCAGTCTATTACACACACACACACACAGACACACACACACACACACACACACACACACACACACACACACACACACACACACACACACACACACACACACGCACACAGACACACACAGACACACACACAGACACACACACACACCTCTCCGGATCACTCAGGGGGTGGGAGTTTTGAACCAGTGCTGCCTCATGTCTCTGGACTTAGTGTTGTTTGGGCCATGAATTATTTGCCTGCGACACACACAGTTATATGACAAGAGCACAGCTGACTACACACACACACACACACACACACACACACACACACACACACACACACACACACACACACACAGAAGAAGAGGGAAGAAGCCCGGGTGGAAGGAGCGCAGCCAGAAATTGCATCTGATATCACTCTTTGGGAATGACGTCATGAAAAACGCCTCTTGCAAAAAGCAAACAAGAACCAGGAAACATTCAAAGGTTCATTGTGAAAGCGAAAGAGTTTATAATTAAAGAGGAACATTTCATTTCAAAGTGCCTTTTGCTAAAACATCAAAGAAGAGTTTGTGTGTGTCTGTATCTACTGTATGAGTGAAATTATGGAATCGTATGGAAGATTGTTAAAAACGTTGCCATAATATTTATAATTTCAAAACATTATTTAAAAGGCAGTCATTTTTTGTGGATATCAAACAGAAACATTGTGATATTTATAAACGGCTTTGATTATTTTATTGAGTCGTGTTTAGTTTTACTGGTTGGATAATCTTGATCTTTTAAGTTAAAGGGAAGTCGGAAGGTTTTATTTTGTTATATTGATAAGTAGAAAAGGGGGCGGGGTTACATAAATATCTTCCTTCTCCCTTTTGGACATGGTTTATTTTATTTATTCCTTGAGGGAGCATTTTGTACATAACATTGTGCATGAATGGGTTGGTTTTTTTTGCTAATTATTTCATTTATTAATTAATTCATTATTAATGCTGTTAATAAGGGTTGGACATGTCATGATCTTTGTGTCTGTATTTCTTGTGTTTGAAAAATGTCTCCATGGCCTCGCACCAAAGTCCATCTGTGACATCAGACAGGGCTGGAGGACTACTTGGATGTAAAATAAGGCCTAATAATAAATACACTTTAGGTGCCACACTTATTTTCTTGATTACATTAATCACACTGGCTGAGTCACAGACCCCGACTCAGGGGGGGCAAAGCGTTACTGGACCTGACGGTCATCAGCCGACCTCCACCCCTCCCCACGCCGACACCTGTAACCCTAGCCTACAACCCGGACATGGGTGTACTCTTCATCCTCCGAGTCATAGTCACGCTCTTTCTCAAAATACTGGATGGCTCGGACCCCCGGTTTTGGCTGTATATTAATGGAGGTAAAATGGGCGGTGAAAACTCTGCTCATAATTTTCTCTGCGCAAGGGATGACACACGAGAATACCACCATCCCTACCAACAAAATGGAGGCTATGTTGATCAGCAAGTGTCGCCAAGAGGAGGTCAGCCAGCCGGACCATGAAAATGGACCGCTCGCTTCCTCCCGCTCCATTGCATCTCGGAGCCTGGTTAAGTTGGCTATTCCCTGCTCAATCAAACCTCCATCCTCCTCGTGAGCTGGGATGTATGTGCAGCAGGATTTTCCCACCCTGGCACAGACACCACCAGTAGACACGGTCAGATGGTCCAGCACCAGGCGGTTCTGGAGGGCCACTGCTCTCAAGCCATGGAGCTCAGCACGCTGTGCCTCTCAGACTGAGACTGTGGTGTTTATAAATGCTGAAAACCGATAGCTGAATGTTTCCATTCTCAGCATCAGTTTCCCCACCCCCAGACTTGGGAACAGGGCCAGCATCACCTTCTCCCCTGTGGTCCAGATCTTATGGTCATCTGGCACATCAGAGCCCCACAGTGGGTCGTGAAGCGGCATGACCAAGGGAGTGTCCCGCTTTACCCTGGGGCTAAGTGGCTTATGGGCGGAGATAATGTACGAGTGGTCCGCGGGCACGGCAGCAGCACATCTGCTGATCCATCCTGCCGGCAGACAATCATACATACGGTAACCACACAGGAACATATGGCCTTCTACTGGGTTGGTACCAAACATGTCCGGAACAGTGAGGTAGGCGGCACACTTAGAGTTGGGGCTGGCCTGGGACTGGTTAAACCTGTGTGTACCATACATGTGTGTGCATGGGGTGTATACTGCCGAACAATACTCCAGGGGGATTTTGCCTACAAATACGGGGTCTAGACCCATGCCAGCATCCCGAAGTGGCATCTCAGAAATGGTTTGGGCGTAGCAAATAAACTTGGAACCTGGCTGTATATGCACAGGCCCAAAAAGGGGCTCCCGTCCAGGCCTCTCCCCCACCTTAATGCCGGTGTTCTGCCGAGTTGTGCCGCTTGCTGAGTTGTGACGCTGATGTAATGCTCAGCTGTTAATGATGTAATGCAAACCTGCGCATGCGCGTCTCACGGCAACTGAAACAAACCAAGATGGTGGACAGAAAGTCCGAGAATTGCTTTAAAAGTTATAATACGAACAAAATAAGACACGAATGTCACTTTTAATGCAATTTGAGGCGAGATGTTGATGGTTCCGTGTTGGCACATGTGGGTTTTAAGAGTCAAAGTTTCGTGTAAAGTTTAGTTTAAGCAGTCAACTGCGCCTATGAAACCACTATGCTAATGTTATGAGAGCAGTCCGCGGGTGCTTACGTAGGTTGATGAAGCGTCCTGTGGCAACTCTACAGCTTACAACTGGATGAATGTTGATAATGGAAATAATAAATTTAATTCAATGCATGCATCGTACTGTATTCAATATGGTGGATCTGTGCGAGTGATACTGTGCTCAAGTGGAGGAGAGGTATGGCTCCAGCGATCACCTGCAGCAGCACAGCTTGTGGACTGCACACTTTTCTGTCAGTTCAGTTAATAATTTTCATGGGATGAATTCGAAGTTGCAAAAAAAAAAAAAATGGCCATTTGGATATATAGTAAAACTTTTTCTGTCAAGACTCTGCTGCAGCTGATCCATGACAACAACCACAGGATTATTATCACCAGTAACCACAGAGATTACATGCCATGGCCATGTTGTCCTTTGAAATGTAATTCATTCGTGGATCGATGAATTTTGACTAGTTTCCCAGATGAAAGATCGGGTGCATCCTTTCTATTAAAGAAATGAACAACACTGGTGAGTAACATTTCAATTGGAACCAATCAAAGGTTTTTTCATGGGCTTTATGTTAGGTTGTGCATAAAAAATGGGCTGTGGTATTGAATTGAATTTGTGTAGATTTTCCTGCTAAAGGATGTAAAGTTCCCGCATTGATGTCAAGCTTTAAATACAAGAGAAAACACGTTTGTAGTTTTTTTGTGTGGATCAATCAAGTCTGAAGGCTGTAAACTAAGTGTATTTTTAGAAATGTAGGAATTGTATTGACTTTGATTGGTTAGGCCCAACCAGGGACAGGAGTTGTGAATTGGCATCTGCTATAAACTATATTCATCACATCAGCTGCAAGCTTTGTTTATGACTGTGTCTGCATTGTCCCTGTCAAATAAATATATTGATAATGTTGAAAGAGCGTGGAGACTTCATTTTGAGAAATCAATTCATTTAACAAATATCAGGCACATCCAAAGCACACAATACATTGTATATCTTTCAAAACACAAATCTGAGAGGAACACTTAAACACCTGAAATGCAAAACAACACAGAACCATTGATCCATAAGGAGCAAAAATGTCCATAAATGTTGTAGAATGTTAAAGTGTCCTGGATCATCACCAGTCCTTTAGTTAGACACTTAACTGTCTAACAGACCCTCCTACATCGGCAAGGAAAAACTCTAAAACCCAGTGGGAAAAAAGTGAGACACCTTGAGGGAGACCACATTGAGAAAGGGATCCGCTCCTCACGGACGGACAGGCTATAGATCCAGAACCTAAGCTACAGAACATGGACCAGGGCGCAGGGCGGGACTGGGGCAGCAGAACGAGGACTGAGGCAGCTCCCAGGCAGGGGTGCAGCCCACGAGTCGGGCTGAAGGAGGACAGTCAGCAGGTGCAAATGGTCTCGTCGTCACACCATGAAACAGACAAAGGGACAAAACATTTCAGTACATTATAGTACACTACGCAAACAGAAAATTACAATAATTAACATACGTGTCCAATTCCACAGGAGTCTCAGATTTGTGGAGTTGGTTAGCTGGTGCTCGGGACGACTGGGAGCCAGGTCATTCCTGCATGTGATGTGCTCAGGATACGCGAAGAGTTCACAGATCCTGAAGGCCAGTGCGTTGGCTTTCTGTCCTGGTCAGCCTCTGTAATAATATATGATTAAGTTATTGTACTGTAATGTTTGTACAGTATTATTTCTTTACCAAGTGTTGGCTTTGCTGTTTGCTTTCCTTTGATGTACTTTGGGTTGGAACTTTGAATAAAGACTGCCCTTTTGAAGAATCTTGCCCACGTTTGACATTTTCATTTAAGTGCATTCCTGCCCAAAAAAGCCTGCAAAAAAAAGTTTCAATGTTAACAGGATTTGTATTCTTAATTATTACAAAGAATAACGCTTCAGCTGTGATGTCTGGGTTTCTGCACATCTTTAGGCAATCAGTTGTTCATTTAGCTCTTCTTTGTACAATGGGGCATACCCTGAGAAAACAATGAATTTGGTTACAAGAGAAATGTTTTGACTTGCGTGTGACAATCAGTGACACTATAGTCCGCTTCAAGACTTTTTCCATGTAAAAACTCCCTCCTACCTCATTGCTCTAAGGAAACACAAAAGTTTTAATTTATAATGAAAATACAATAAATTGTGTAATATTTACTACTAGACATACCTGTTCTGTTTGTATGTCAAGCACCTTCTCACTCTCAAGTTCCATTGGTGTGTAGCTGTCACATTTGGCAGTGTCCTAAAAGCATTGGAAAAACGTTAGATGCAAAGTAACAAATATTACTGACATTACTATCCCTACCTGGTGAATCTGCTATTTTTCCCTTCTTCAAATCCTCCAAAAGCCTCTTGATTTTTCCTCCACTTGTTTTCGATTGGTGGGTCAAGAAAGTGCCATGATTGTCTCCTAAATAAAATAAGGTATAATTTGTCCCACAGTGGGAAAATGTGATTGTTACAGTATTTACTTACTACTTATTTACAGACGAGATGACATGTACAGGCTCAGCAGTTCTCACAGTACAGTCTGACAGCGGCAGGAAGGAAAGACCTGTGCAACCTCTTCTTCACACATAGAGGATGAATAGCTCTCACTGAAGCTGCTCTCCAGAGCAGAGTGTCCTGCAGGGGGTGACAGTCATGGTCCCCCACCTGCTGCACTGGGAACAGCCCATGACTGAGCTGAACTTACTGATGACCTTGTCCAGCTTCTTCCCCCTCTGTGATGCTGTTGATCCAGCAGACCACTCGGAACAAGAACACCATTTCTTTGGTCTTCCCTGCATTGATGAGGAGGTGGTTCCTCTCTTTGGTCGGTTTATGAGGAGATGTTTCCTCTCTTTGGTCTGTTGATGCGGAGGTGGTTTCTCTTTGGTGTTCTAATAATAATAATAATAATAACAATACATACTTATACAGAACTTTTCTGGACACTCAGACGCTTTACAGAAGAAAAATAAGAAGCGTTTGTTTCACTAAATATCGATGTATCTTAGCCCCTATCAAATCACAGGATGAAATTCGCTGATAGAACGTTAAAACAATCAAAATATATGCCATTTGAAAACGGAGAGCCATACTCACGTGTGTTTTCAGCTTCGGGTAGAAGAGAAAACAAGTCTGATTTGAGCATGCGCAAAAAAGGACGTACGTCAGCTGCCGAGGACTGCTATCATAACATAAGCAGTGTGGCGCAGTTGACTGCTTAAACTAAACTTTACCCGAAACTTTGACTCTTAAAACCCGCATGTGACAACAGGGAACCGTCAACATATCGCCTCAAATTGCATTAAAAGTGACATTCGTGTCATAATTTGTTCGTGTTTTAACTTATAAAGCAATTCTCGGACTTTCTGTCCGCCATCTTGGTTTGTTTCGGTTGCTGTGAGACGCGCATGCGCAGGTTTGCATTACATCATTAACAGCTGAGCATTACATCAGCGGCACAACTCGGCAGGACACCGGGTTTTTGAAAAAAAAAAATGTGGATATCAAAATTGCATGACAATGTCAATCTGAAAGAGATTCCGGCAACAAAAATCCTATATTTTATAAAAAGAACGTGTTTTTCATGAATTTAAGCTGTCTATGCTCTAACCTGTGTGTGACGTCACAGCGGGTTACGCCCATGCATTGAAAACCATGGATCTATGCCACAGGACTGCCTTTTCTCTCTTCTCTCCACTGATGCCCAACACAATACTGCCCTCTTCAGGTGACAATTGCTCACTACACATAAATTGCCGTTTTGAGAGTGAAAATGTGTCTGAGCTGGGATTTGAACCCCAGTATCTGGATTGGCAGTCTATCAACACAATCACTGGACTATCTCAGTGCCAACGAAGCAATACAATCTAGGAGTCATTTTGAAAAGTTACAATATAGTTGTCATCTTGAATATCCGCGACAAAAGAACGAATACCAAATTGTAAACAACTTACAGCGTTGAAACGTACCCACTCTGACGTCACCAAGGGCTGTGAAGTTTTTTCGTCTCTAAGGGCGTTGCTATGGGGTTATTTCGATTTGGGGGGATCAGACAAAAAAAACAACTGATTTTGAAACCTTTAGTAGTTCTCTTCTAATATAAAATGGTATTAAAACTGTATTTCTAAATAAATCAAACCCGGCATAAGGTCTTTAAACACAGGGGCAGACCTAACAGTGGGGCCCTCGTGGGTGAGGAGATCTGGAATACTCATCTTAAAAATGGATGCATCACACTTTTCTGACCTCCTGTGCTTTCCACATGGGGTCAGAGTGGGTGGGATTTGATTGAAAGACATGATGCAGCACGTCTCCATCTATCACTGACCTGCTGCCAACAGAGCATTATGGCCTGTATCTGAATCCAGAGTGGACTATTAGTTAATAACTTACACTCATAACTATTTGGTGTTAATTCAGATTGCTTCACTAAAATATTTCTATAACAACTCAAAACAACAACTGTTTAAGAGACACTTAGGACTCGCTGCCGTTTCCAGCACATTCAAAGTAAACAATGCAATGAACATATCCTCTTTAACTACGCTTACAAAACTAAAAGCCGTTGAATTGACTCCTCTGGGGTGTTCAAAGTTCTTTTAAATTCTAAAGTGTATGCCTCAGAAATGGACGGTGCCTCTCTGCCTCCAGGGTCCAGGGCGAGATGGAGGTGACGGCCGGAGCTCTTAGCCTGGGCAGGGGCTGTCTGGAGACCCCACTCCGTCTCAGAGGGAGGCAGCTTTTAGCACGGCTGCCAGCTCCGGTCAAACGGCAAGAACGCTATAATTTTCATGGGATTTAGTTTTTTTTGCCGTGGAGTATTTATTGGACCGGACAGCATGTGCAATGTAGACGAGAGAGGAAAGGTATTCGGAAAGTTGAGATGTCGGAGGGTGAGAGGTTATAACGATCATTATTTCTTGATAACTGACCTCTTAAAACAATAATATCCGCTGCTCTTTGGCAACGCACCTTCTGCTGGTATTTCAGATGTGTAGATTACTCTGCAAGTAGTTCTGGCCACTCTGGAGCTAGCCACGCTCGGACAATATATTATACATATACATTCTTAACACAGAGGTATCTGTTATGGTCTCGTTACAAAAATATGGCACGGTGGCTGAGTGGAGTTTGCATGTTCTCCCTGTGCCTGCGTAGGTTTCTCCTACAACTAAAAAAGATGCTCACTAGGTTAAATCCTCCAGCTCCGGTAGTCCTGGCCAAGCCGAGCATCAACATCTGGAGATAGGTTCCTGGGCGCTGTTACTACGGCGTAAACCTGACGTAAACCTTCGAGGCATCAGGATGGGTCAAATGCAGAGGATTGAATTTCCCAACGGAGATTAATAAAGTGCACCATTAAAATACTGTTAAAATGATGTACTAAGGTAGAGTTTATGTTGTCAGTTTCTAGCCTAACTGTTGCTAGCATAGCCATGGGGAAAACCTTTGGGAACCATTTTATTTTCTGTCATTAAACAAACCTTTCCGCATTCCTAAAAGTTGAATTAAGTATATTTTGTGAGTGTTCTGTTGATACAAAGCCGTATAAAAAGCGGGATAATGTATAGCACGCAGGTCCTTATCGGAAAATAAGTACCGACAGGGCGAAGCTTTTATGGTGGAATTTTGTAAAAAGTGTAGTTTTTTGTTATCCCCATGACCCTAAATAACAGTCTATCCGTCTAAAAAAGTCTAAAAAGTTGTCTATAGAATTTTGTGTTTTTTTCAATACATTTTTGTGAAATAGATTTTCCATTTAATTCTTTTCTTTGTCTTCATGATTCCATAATTTTTATATAATTGATATGACAGCTCTACAGTATGAATATTGCAAAACCCCAGGTTCTACTGAAGAAAAAAAAAAGTATACTGCTTGATTTTTCATCACAAGAGGACTGTTTTATGAGCAATTACACTCAAAGAAAACCAGGCGAAGAAAAGTTCCCCAAAATGACCCTGGATCTTGGAGGGAGTAGCTCTCAGCCTTTATAGCTCTCCGGGCCAAAAAGGGACTACAATGAGTCTGGGGTGTATGAATGGTTGATGTTGGTCTGAGGGGTCAATGGCAGAGACTTGTTGCCTCGCTTCTGGCAGTGTGCCCAAGGGCAGCTGTGTCGTTTGTCACCAGTGTTTCCAGAAAAAGTGCTGTATAAAACCTAACACTGCAAAGGAGTAATGAAAAACCAGACAAAAATGACTCAAATTCAACAAATGTTTTATTGGAATGTGTCAGATTAAGATCAAACCACTCAAAGCATCACCTCATATTTTATCATACTTTTACAGTATGTTTTATATCACAGACCAATGTCACACAAAGCTCGTTACAGTTTATGGTGCAGCAAATATGTCAAATGAGAAAAATATGCAAATATACAGTGTTTAAAATCCACTTTGCAAATCTGCCTGTAATTCCCATTCTCTCCACATGGTGCCGCCAGAAGCGAGATGCCAAACCATTAGTCTTCTACTCAAACATCAACACCTGTTTTTAGCTGTTGGGGGAAACTGCTGCACCTGGAAAAAACCTACACAGACACGGGGAAACCATGCACACTCCCCACAGAGAGGTCCGGAGGTGGGATCGAACCCAGGACCTTCTCGCTGTGAGGCACAAGTGAACGTTACATTGTTTTTCTCTTTCTCAAAACTCAGGGAAACAGCCTTTTAGATGGAAAATGTTTAGAAGCCGCTGTGATTTGCAGAAACTCTACTTCCAGGAGATGGACAAAATCTCCTGGAAGTGTGTCTGTATGAGTCTGTACACAGACGCATACAGACACACACACGCATCAGACCGGGTCATGCGTTGCGTCGGCTTTCAATGCAAAGTCAATGGTGACGTGCGTTCGAGCGTCAAAACACATGTGCGTTTCGGTACGCACGCACGGACTGCGCGGGAAAGTCGAAGGGGAGGAGCAGGAGCAGAGAATCAATGCACGCTGGAGATGAATTTTGCTCAACGTTTCCTCGGGACACTCGTGCAGCGACCAATCAGAGAGCCGCAAAGTGGTCACGGTCTGAGCGAGCAGACTGAAAATACTCGTAAACAGCCAAAACAGGAGCTTCACCAGGACTAAACCAGGGTTGACAATGAGGGACTGCTTGTGAACATATGAACACACTCGAAGCAGTTGCATAAAGTCACAGGAACATGAAAACCATGCTCCTGTGACTTTATGCAACTGCTTTGAGTGTGTTCGCCGATGCGGAAGTACTGTTTAATAATAAAATAAACGTATGGCGCACCTCCATGAACACATCTACTGTTATATAAAGTTCTGGAAGGTCTCTGAACACAGAGACGCTGCAAAGCTGCATTATTGGAGCAGAAATTAACACAAGAAGCCACTAGCTAAACTCTTGTTAGCATCAAAGCCCGCCGGCTACTTCCGCCACTTCCAGTGCTGGTCAGGACTTCTCTGTCTGAAGACCCCTGCATCTGAAAACTAGAGAATGTGCGACTGGTGAGCGGGGCTTCAGCGTTTCAGCGTTGGCGGTCTGAAAGCACCAAAACACACAGCAATACACACAAAAACACACACACACACCAAATGTGTCAATATCTGTGTTCAGGAACTATGATGTTGTGTTTACATACAAGCATTGTAATAACATAGTCATACGCCTGACCTACAGAGGGCGCTAGTACCATGTGATAGCGGCACAAGGATAGAGGGAGACGAAATGGAATGTAAGAAAATGCTATGACCATGCTCCTGAGTTCTCCGCAGTAAATCGTTCTGAAAGACTTACTAAGTTTCTTATTTCTTCTACACCACCAACATAACAAATTGGCGACGAGGATGAGTGCATCTGTACCGTGCCCACCGTCTTTTCTTCCACACGTTGGTGAGCCGCCTATACCTTTTGCTACATGGCGGAGGATGTTCGAGAATTATATGCTAGTCATCAATGCTACAGGAGATGCATGGCCTGATGCTAGGAAAAGAGCCGTGCTACTACACTGCCTTGGACCAGAGGGACAACGCCTTTTTTACACTTTACCGGACCAAGGTGATTCTATGGATTCTGCAATGGCTGCGCTGGAGAAACACTTCGTGCCTAAAGTCAACGTCGTAGCATGCAGACACACGTTCAGACAACGTGTTCAGCGCTCGGACGAGACAGCAATACAGTACGTAGCCGCGCTAAGGGACCTGGCTGCGTCATGTGCATTTGGTACAATGGAGGGGGAGATGATACGCGATCAACTCATTTCTAATACATACCTCAGTGCAGTGCGTGATAAACTGCTTCTGGAGGACAATCTGACTTTAGATAAAGCAGTAACAGTTGCTACACAAGTGGAGGCAGCAGTAAAAAATGCCACACTGTTGACCGCTAACAGACACGTCCCCGCTGCGCCAATACAGGCAGTCGGAGCGTCCCGCTCATTTATTCGCGGCAGGAGAGACACCAATCCCGCCAAGACTTCTGCACATGACCGTACCAGGCAGGTTTCCAATGCCAGTAGACAACGCAAATGTTTCAGATGTGGATCGAACAAACACTTGGCTAGTGACAGAACCTGCCCCGCCGCTTCAGTACAATGCAATTCTTGCGGGAAAAAGGGACATTTTGCCAAGGTATGCAGATCAAGTACCAAAACAGTGAATGAAATACAAGATGTTGTTGTGCCAGAACTCGCTATCCTCCGGATTGATGATGTAAAACTAGCCGCAGCAGCATTTGATAAATTAACCTGCACAGTAAATATTGAAGCACCAAAAGGAAATGGACATTCACTTGAGTTAATAGTGGATACCGGAGCTGCTGTGTCCATACTGCCAGAGTCCATATACAGAAAATATTTTGGACGCTGCACACTCGAAGATCCAAAAGCTAGGCTTGTTACTTATTCCAAGGGCCACTTACCTGTACTTGGTTGTCTCCGTGCAGAAACTACAACTACTGAACAAGACAGTACTGTGCCAGCAACTTTCTACATTGTGGAAGCCGGATCTCCCCTGCTGGGCTTGGATTTGATTAAAGCCCTGGGGGTCAGCATCATTGACGGCAAAGTGATCCTCAACACGGACTGTGCAAACACGCCACCTGCTGGGGAGCCCGAAGGTGCAGTGCACAACATTGACACTACTCCAGTTCAAACACTCGGGTGTGTCAAAGGATTTATTCATAAAGTACAAGTCAACAATGCAGTGCGTCCAGTGCGCCAAAAACTACGACGTCTACCGCTCAGTATACGCAAAGAGGTCTCTACAGAACTTACCCGACTACTCCAAGCAGGCATCATTGAAAGAATTGATGCATCTGAATGGGTGAGTCCCCTTGTGGCGGGAAGAAAACGCCAAGGGGCTCTGCGCCTATGTGTCGACTTGCGTGAATCAAATAAAAGTGTCGTCATGGACTGCTACCCGCTTCCTCACATGGAGGACCTGTTCGCTGAACTGTCTGGTGCTACATACTACAGCCAGATCGATTTAAGCTCAGCCTACCACCAGTTGCCTCTACACCCAGAGAGCCGCAAACTGACTGCCTTTATAACCCATGACGGCTTATTCCAGTTCACTCGAGTCCCCTTTGGCCTTGCTTCCGCTCCATCTGCATTCCAAAAAATGATGGAGACAATACTGAAGGACTTACCGGGTGTACAGAACTACCTGGACGACATCATTATCTATGGAGCTTCAAGAGAGGAACACGATCTGCGCCTACAAGCAGTCCTCAACCGCCTAAGTGAGGCCAGCCTACAGATCAACTTTGGGAAGAGCACCTTCGCAAAAACACAGATCACATTCCTGGGCCATGTCATTTCCAAAGAAGGCTTGCGCCCGAGCACAGACCACCTTACTGCTATCGCTGAAGCACCTGCACCAAGAGACATGCCAGCGCTGCGCTCATTCTTAGGTCTGACTTCATGGTTTAGCAAGTTTGTCCCTAACTATGCTACACTTGTTGAACCCCTGCGACTACTGCTCAAGACTAGCCCGCAGGCTAAACTACACTGGGACAATGTTGCGAATGAATGCTTCACAAAGCTGAAACGGCTACTACTGGACAGTCCTGCTCTTGCCATGTTCAATCCAAAACTGTCAGCTGTCATCACAACAGATGCTTCTGACTATGGCTTAGGAGCTGTCCTGACGCAGATTCACTCAGACAATACAGAGCGCATCGTGCTTTTGCTTCACGCACACTGACGCCTGCTGAGAGGAAGTACTCCACTACGGAAAAGGAGGCCCTCGCATGCGTGTGGGCTGTCGAGAGATGGAGGACATACGTCTGGGGACGCAGATTCACACTCCGCACGGATCATCAGGCCCTGACTACGCTCCTCAACACCAAAGGTATGAATAGAGCAGGGATGAGAGTTGCCAGATGGTCAGCCAGGCTAATGTGCTTTCAGTACGACATTGAATACCGCCCTGGAAACCAAAATGTGCTGGCAGATTGTCTCTCACGTGTTCCCCTTGAGTCAACTCCACTGACTGAACCTGAACCTGACTTGTTTGTTGAGATAGCTGAAATCTCAGAGCTCCTTACTGCACTGCCTCTCGCTGACTTTAAAGCAGAGGCCGAGGACTGTCCCATACTCACAAAGCTAAGGCAGATCAGTCAGTCCAAATGGCCAAAAACCAAAAAGTCATTATCCAGTGACCTACAGCCATACTTTCTTATCAGACATGAGCTTGCAGTAGATTCCCCACTGGTTTTCCGAGGTGCTCGTCTAGTAGTCCCCGACTCACTCAGAGAGCGCATAATACAGCTTGCACACGAAGGACACCAGGGACTTGTACGCACGAAGCAACGCCTCAGAGAACTTTACTGGTGGCCAAACATGGACAGCTTAGTTCATAGTGTCCTCTCCTCGTGTACAGTATGCCAGTCCTGTGACAAGACTGCCAAAGTGTCACCTGCTCCGCTACAACCTGTAGAGTTTCCTGAAGGCCCCTTCCAGCATGTGGCTGTGGACATAGTCGGTCCTTTCGAACGTGGACCTCAGGACTGTAGGTTTGCTATCACTATGGTGGACTACTTTAGTAAGTGGCCTGAAGTAGCTTTTACCCCAAATGCAACTGCAGCTACTGTCATTACCTTCCTGTCAGCTGTTTTTGCGCGTGAAGGTAATCCTTGTGCAATTACTACTGATAACGGCCCACAGTTCACGTCTGGTGATTTTGCAAACTTCATGAGAGAGAGAGGAATTAAGCACATTAGAACAAGCGTGTACCATCCTCAAGCCAATGGGAGTGTTGAAAGGTTCAACAGAGTGCTCAAAGACTGTATCCAGGGAGCACAGGCTGTGCAAAAGCCATGGAAGCCAACAGTAACTGCCATACTCCAAAGCTACAGAGCCACACCCCATGCTACAACGAACGAGTCTCCATTCCTGCTGCTCAGAGGACGACCTATGAGAACCAAGCTCCACATTCTGCCACAACGTGATGACACCGGACGTTACGACAAAGTGAGATCCAGAGTCGCTCTGCAGCAAGCCAAAAGTAAGAAATACACTGACAAAAAGCGAGGTGCTAAACCTCCTAAACTTGCAGTGGGAGACAAAGTGCGCATACGGAAGCCTTTTCATGTTGGGAAAGGAGAGAGACAGTACACTGATCCTTTAAACATTCAACAACAAACCGGATACAGCACCTTCATCTTAAGTGACGGGAAAAGGTGGAATGCAACACGTCTTTCTCTTTGCCCTGGAAGAGCGGAGGAATCACGCTCTCAAGCTAGCACTTCTGGACAAAACACTAGCTTGCCAGAGACTGTTCCAAACCGGGCCATCCCACAAAGAGCGCACAAACCACCAGCATGGACTAAAGACTTTGTAATGAAATAACATCAAAGATTAAGATAACAAAAGGAAACGTATACCACCCTTGTTACAACTATTGTTCATTAATAATTGTAATGCAAGATTGTAATTTCAGCTGCTCACTTTAAGTTTATACTCAGATTTTAGTTAAGAGAAATGTATAGCAGCTAATTACTATAATTACTAAAGATGAGAAAACTACCTTAAATCACATGTTCTATAAGGAGAATATTTCACTTGTTTTTTACATAAGTTCTATAATAGGAGATGTTGCCTTTTATGAGTAACAGGGGAGATGTTGTGTTTACATACAAGCATTGTAATAACAGTCATACGCCTGACCTACAGAGGGCGCTAGTACCATGTGATAGCGGCACAAGGATAGAGGGAGACGAAATGGAATGTAAGAAAATGCTATGACCATGCTCCTGAGTTCTCCGCAGTAAATTGTTCTGAAAGACTTACTAAGTTTCTTATTTCTTCTACACCACCAACATAACATATGACACTTTCCAAAGCACTAAAATCAAAGCTGAAATATTTTAGTGTGAGGTGTAGGGTAAGAAAATTGTACTGTGGAAGAGCCAGTCTCTAGGATAGAGCCTCGCCGTTCCACAGAGAGGGATCTGAATTTATTTATGGGGCACCAGCAGAACAGTGAAAGTCTGCAACAGATCCAAACTAATCTGCCTCGATCAGTCTCACAATCTGATGGGTTTTGAGTACGAAATCAGCCAGGGATATCAAAAGATTGGTAAAAAGACACTTTGACGATGACTTAAGTTTATCGTGGGTTTATTGACTACATACGAAAATAGAAGAATATCAACGAGGAGGGGTTTGGTCACATTAAACAGAGATGTTAAACATATCACATGAATTACACACTAACGTGGCAATTAGAACAGTCTTACTTTGACGTAGTCCGTATTGAAGAATGGGGTATGAAGAAAGGAAGGGGATGGGCAGTCCACGTGCTCCTTTGTTCGGGCAGGAGGGAGACACAAAGCCAGCGGGTTCAATCCAAACTTTAAATTCCCACACACACACGCCGTCTAGAATAGCGTTGCGTGAGGAGGCGTCCAGAGCCGGAAAGTGGCTGGTGGAGATAGTTTGTGGTCTCCGACAGCGGGTGTCGTGGGCTGTCCTCGTGGAGGTAGAGAGGCCTAAGTTGTTGCAGGCCGGAGGTCTCGTAGGAGACGCGTACCTGTGGTTGCTAGGTTGATTGCAAGGGATACCAAGAGAAAGATTCTCTGTGCGGCTTGTGGTTTTGTTGTATTCCAAAGGAGGCGCGTCCATGACGTCATCTTTGTGCGTCTCCCTGGACAGACATGTTACAACGGCACACACCATACCACCTTTTTGACGTTCATAACACATATACCGACACACAGCGTATTTACATTACAGACAATGTTACACACGGGTAGAGCCAGTAAAGGTTATCAGAATAATGTCTTCACAGAGCGATGGTTTCGAATGTCTATCTTGGGTGGGCTAGTGTTTAGTGTCCACTGGGGGGCGTCAGAACGCCGTTGGTGGATCGCCAGTTGTCCCGGGGAGGAATGTTTTTTAGAGTTAGTGCAGGACTTTGATCTCTGAACTCGCCGGGTAGGGGGCAGAGATGTTTAGTCCTGTAGTCGATTCATTGCCCCAGGTTGACGGTTGTTATCTTTATGGCCGATGATACTTCTCCATTCGACCCTCTTTATTCCTCAGATGTAACTCAGGAGGGTCGTTCCCGGAGCGTATGTTTACTTTATCCTGCTTGCTGGCTAACGTCTGAATGGAGCCAGGTTTGCCGAGTCGTGCCCTCTGTGTCACCTTACAGAGGCAATAGTCGACAACAACAGGTTGAAGTCTCAATAATAAACTTTAGAACTAACTTCCAACAGGCGTCAGGACCAGAGGAGCAGAGTTTACACCATCTTCATTCCACCATGGATGAACCATCGGCAGAATGTTGTCAGTGAAGCCACAGTCAGTGTAAGACCAAAGAAGAGACTTTTTATCCACATCATAGAAGGAGACCAGACCTTCATCATAATCCACAAACACTCCCAACTTCTCTGGACACGACTGGAGGGAGAGATGTGCAGGAGGGTGGTGTGATGTTAAGTAACGACCTTCACACAAGTAGAGTATCCAGTATCCATTGTGTATAGTTTGAGGCCTTCTACGTTTTCGATCTACTGTCTCTTTGGCCACTCCTAGATTCCACCCTGTCTTTCCTTTGACTTGAACCTCAAAATAAAACTTTCCTGATGAGAACTTTTGTTTCCCAAACACACTGAAATAGGTCGTGAATCTCTCAGGGTTGTCTGGGAGATTCTGTTCTTGGTCACCGTAATGAACCCGTTTGAGATCTTTAGACAGAACTAATCGTGGATGTGCAGTGTCTGGATCTAGAGACACCTCAGCTGCAAACTCTTGAACTTTCTCTAACTCTGCTTTAAAGAACATCTCCATCTCTGTGTTCAGTTTGTTCCTCAGTTCAGACACAGCTTGGGCCCCTGTCCCCTTGTACGACGGGGTCCTGACAGTCTTCTGGCTCCAGTCTCTGAGCTGTGGAGCAGGTTTGACTGTAGTGAAGGTTTGGACAAAGGACAGGTGGTCTCCAGAGGTCCACAGCTGATCCATCTCAGCTCCTCTCTGCTCCAGCTCAGAGATCTCTGTCTGGATCTGCTCTATCAGCTGAGACGCCTCCTCCTCCACCTTCTGATGCTTTTCTACAATGCTCCGTTTGAAGCTGTTTGCACTTTGTCGAACAAACTCCATCAAAGCGGTGAAGACTCTGAGACCTTCTTGTATTTCTGCGTCTGCCTTTCTCTGACTCTGCTCCACTGAGCGCTGGATCTCCTGGACTTTCACACGTCTGTCTTTGATCTGTTTCTTCAGTGTGGCCTGCTGCTCCTCTCCCTGCTCCTTCAATAAGACAGTATGATGCTTTGTATCCTCTGTATAACTGCACTGCACGCACATGAAGTGTGAGTGGTCCCTACAAAAGAGCTCCAGGGGCCGCTGGTGCTTAGGGCAGATGTGCTCTTCCAGGTTGGGCAGAGGGTGGATCAGCTGGTGCCTCTTCAGACGGGGGTTTGTGAGGTGTGACTGCAGGTGGCTCTCACAGTACGACATCAGACACAGCAGGCAGGACTTCAGGGCTCTGAGCCTGGGCTCTAGACAGATGTCACAGTCCAACTCTCCTGGAGGAGTGGACAGGTCACAGACCTCTCCTGGAGCAGTGGACGGAGCCTCCATCACTGTGTCTTCATCTTGAGGCTTATTTCTGAGCAGAGAGATCATTTCTAACATAAAAGTACTGACTTTCAGCTTTGGTCTTGGGCTGAAGTCCTGTTTACAAAGTGGGCAGCTACAGTGGACACTGGTGTCCCAGTGTTTGTTGATACAGATGCTGCAGAAGCTGTGTCCACACGGTGTTGTGACTGGATCAGTGAAGACCTCCAGACAGATGGAGCAGAGAAACTGCTCCTCACAGAGAGAAGAGCTCACAGCCGCCATCACTGCAACAAGAGAAACAAAAACACATTTGGTTTAGTGTTGGTGAAGAGGCCTCTGCATCTGTTAAAGCTTCAACAGAGTCTCAATGGTTTTTGAGTGGATAGAAACATCCAAGAGGACACAGCTGTGCGCTACTACGCAGCGTGTTTCCCATTAAGGAATACATGAAGATGCGACCAACGTTAAAGCATGTCTCAAAGTGTTGAATGAATGTGGAGACAAAATCCCAAGAATTGTGTCTCATTACTTGGATGAACTTCCGATTACTTTCAAAATTATAGATGTGTGCGGCTTGCTGCGCAAAATGGAGCACATCCAGGGTGAAATATCTGCCTCGCAGCATGCACTGAACCTGCGAGCAGACTCAAGTGAAAGCCTCCGTGCTATTACTTTGAATGTGAGCAACCGGGTGTGCACCCTGGAATTACGAGCTGGCCATGGTGAGGGTGCGGGCCTGCCCTCAGTGCCAAAGCAACCGGGCGTAGTGGAGGCTAGAAACGGCAACATCGAGGCTGCGGATGATGAGACACTGTGCCTCCTTCAAATTTGGGCAGAGGCACATACATCCCAACTTCTGGAAAAGACACAAAAATGCGATAGTGTTTTGTCTAGCGAGAAAATGAAGGAGGGGGGCTACGAACGGTCTCCTGACCAATGCCGCAACAGGCTTATGGAGTTAAAACTATTCACACTATACAGTGATGTTAATGGCAGCATCTTCAAATCATTTGCATTATTAAGCCTCACGAGTCTCACGTCTCAAAAAACAATATCACGTATCATGTTGTGAATTGTGTTCTTTGGTTCATACCTTCGCTCTTTTAGCTCTCGCTCAGTCTTTGTCCACCTTAGAGGAACGCTCATCACCGCGGCGCGCTCCCACACACACATTCTTATTACCCACAGAGCTACTGCACTTATGAGAGACTAATCTCTCAGCAATAGAGGTAGGAACCTCAGGGTACCTCACGATACGCGAAAGAAAGCTCACGATAACGATTATATAAACGATATGACGATTATCAATATATTGGTCAAATATACCATATGCTAATTTATGGCATAAATAAAAGAAAAATGTTAAGTGAAGAAAATCCACTTTATTTCATGACAAATTGAATGGAGATGCGCAATGTAGGCATATATTAAGTATTGATAAAAAACATTTAAATCGATACTTTGCAAATGCATATCGATAATTGATTGCGGGAGAAAGTATTGTGATATATCGTTATATCGATATATTGTCACACTCCTAGCAGACATGCAGCTCGTAGGAGCTCAATACTTTCCTCCATTTTGGCATCTATTCTCCGTTAAACTCTTGCTGTCCAATAGGAGCGCCGATTGTCAAATGCGTCATTATGTTTATAAAAAAATGTACTTGCAAAAAAGTAGTGTCTGAATTAGCCTGGCCAAAGCCATCCGTACACTCCGCTCAATCATCATTTCACTGCATGTAACGTCTGGGTCTGGTCCCTGTGTTAGCGAATATAATCGGTATTTCGACCGGCTACTCAGAGAGCGCGGGAGGCGGGTGTTGTAGGTCGGTGCCGGTGACGTCAGGAGTTTGTGTTGAACGGGCAGGTTGGAGTTTGGCAATGGCGAAGAATGTGATAGTAAAGTAATCCGGTCTGGTTCAATCAAGAAATTGAAGCAGGAGCAAGAGGAATGTTTAGCAAATGTAATCGCTGGTCAAGATTGTGGGGCTACTCCGTTAGCAGCAAAGGAGTTCTGGCCATGGGGTTCTGCTTGACTTGGGTCGGCCTGCTCTCTCTAGGAGAGTGTCATGGCGCCGCAGTGAGAGCTCTAGTGTGCACAATCTGTGTTTTGTTGCTGTTTGTCTTTGAGTCACTTGCCACTGTGAAGTATGACCGAGAGGTGCTTCTTAACATTCGGGACCTTGCGTGTGACGGGTCACTCGTACTACCCTAACTGAGGTGCACAAACTTCGAGTGTCCCACTCGAGAGGCCCGTGGAGCACGGCAGGCGGGCCGCGGCGGTGGCCGCCAACAGAGCGAGGGGACCGGGCGTCTCCACCGTACTCTCCGCGGTGTGGAGCTGGGCACCTCGAGTCGGCGAAGGAGGCGCAGACACCGGGGAAGGCGAGGCGGTCTGCTCGTTCGTAGCCGCTCCTCTAGGACCCCTTTGCCCTCCATCTACCTGGCCAACGTACAGTCTCTGCCCAACAAGACGGACGAGCTCTTGTGTCGGTTCCAGAGCCAGGGCGAGGCCCGGGACTGCGCTGTGTTCTGCCTCAGCAAGACGTGGCTCCACTCGAACGTCCCGAACTCTGCTGTTCAGCCCCCGGGATTCGAAGTGAAGGAGACCACGGGCAAGGCCAGAGGCGGATGTGTGTGCCTTTTAATTAATCAGTGCTGGTGCACGGACACTCGAATTGTGAACCAAACATGTACTGCCAATCTGGAATGCCTGGTCTTGAGCTGCCGCCCTTTTTATCTTCCCCGTTAGTTTTCTGTGATATTTTTATGTGCTGTTTACATTCACCCACGTGCGGATTACAAAGTAGCCCTACAGGATCTGAGCGAGATCCTCCACAAACATGAGTCTGCTCATCCTAACGCAGTCATCATTGTTGCTGGGGATTTCAATAAATGTAATTTAAAGACTGTACTCCCGAACTTTTACCAACATGTGACTCGAGCTACAAGAGCGGCACATGTTCTGGATCACTGCTACAGTAACGTGAAGGGAGCTTACAGGTCCAGTCTCAGACCTCCTTTTGAAAAGTCTGACCACTCCTCTGTTCTCCTTCTTTCGTATACTCAGAGGAGCAGGGAACATAAACCAACCTCTCGCACTGTGCAGTGTTGGTCTGAGGAGGCTAGCATGAAGCTACAAGGTTGTTTTGATGCTACGGACTGGTCTGTGTTTCAGTCAGAGGACGTCAATGAATTCTGTGACGCTGTGTCTACGCTTCTGTATTGACTCCTGTGTCCCACAGAAGGTCATTAAAGAACATTTTAGTCAAAACCCTTGGATGAACGCGGAAGTAAAACTGAAACTTCATGAGCGTGCGTTGGCGTTTCAATCAAATGACAGTTGCTTTTAAGTTATCCTGTTACTCATTGAAACTTTCTATTAACTCATTGACTGCCAGCCCATTTCAGAACAGGTACTTCCATATTGCCAGCCGTTTCTGATGGTTTTTTATTGATTTTTAAAGACCCACAGAATATTGTGTACTATGACAACACCAGATTCTAAAAGAATGGACTGTCTACTTTCAACAGCAAAAAGAATTTTGTTTCTAGCTTGTTTCGTTCCCCTGTAATCCTCCGTTGAGTAGAGGGAAGTTTTACTGAAATCACCAGAAAGTTGAGAAAAAAAAGAGTCACAACATGTGCACCTAACTGTTTTCAAACCATCCAGAGAGAAATGCTGCCACCTGCTGGCTTGATAAAATATGGTCTCAAGTCATCCCCACATATTAGATACAATAGACGTTTGGGAACGTGAAAATAGCGGGAAAGGCAATTTCACAACACAACGTTACTATTTAATTTGACGTATTTGTGCGTGAATGGCACACAATGAGTTAAATCTGCAAAGCGCAGTTACGGGGACAGGTTAAAGAGTTATTTTGAGGAAGATGACCCTCGTCGCATGTGGAACGGTATTAAAGCCATCACATCGTGGAAACCTAGCGCTGGGAAAATTGCATCTGTCGGCCAAGCTCTGCCAAACGAGCTGAACACGTTCTACTGTTGCTTTGAATCCGCTGATGCCTGTCCTACTGTATTCCCTGAGTGTTTCAATCAAGGTACCTTCACCGTGACTCAGGAGGAAGTCCGGCGGGTCTTGTCCAGGACCACAGTCCGGAAAGCCCCAGGCCCGGACGGCATCCCTCCTCGTGTCCTGAAACTGTGCTCTGAGCAACTTGCCCCTGTGCTAACAGACATTTTCAACCTGTCGCTAAGGAACTGTACTGTGCCGAACTGCTTTAAAGAGTCGACCATCATTCCAGTTCCAAAGAAAACTCCTCTGACATGCCTGAATGACTATCGTCCTGTGGCCCTCACGTCTGTTCTTATGAAAACTTTTGAGCGGCTTGTGCTGGACTTCATTAAGAGCCAGATCCCTGTGAGTGTTGACCCGCTCCAGTTTGCTTACAGACAGAACAGGAGTGTGGAGGATGCCATCTCCTTTGCTCTGAACTCTGTCTACAGTCACTTGGACACTAGTAAATCTGTGGCCAGAATGCTTTTCATCGATTATAGCTCTGCTTTTAACTGCCTTGTCCTAGGTAAACTGATTGAAAAGCTCATGTCTCTCGGTTTAAGTGTTGCCATGTGTAAATGGTTTTTTAGCTTTTTAACTGACAGATCTCAGAGAGTGAAAATCAATGACTGTTTTTCTGATGTTGTTTCTGTGAGCACTGGTTCTCCTCAGGGATGTATTTTGAGTCCATTGCTTTTTACTTTTTACACTCACGATTGTGTGTCCTCCGCTGACTCAAACTTGATCATTAAATATGCTGATGACACCACCATCATCGGTCTCATCAGTAACAATGATGAATCCTCTTATAGAGCAGAGATACAAAATGTGGTTCAGTGGAGTCAAACTAACAACCTCCAGTTGAACGCATCCAAAACATGTGAACTGGTCTACGACTTCAGTCGCAATAGTTCTCATTTGCCTGTCGTAATCGACAACTCCCAGGTGCAGATCGTAGAGGAGTGCAAGTTTCTGGGTTTAACTTTGTCTAACGACCTGAAATGGGTTAAAAACACTGACCAAGTCGTTAAGAAAGCTCGTCAGCGTCTCTACGTTCTGTGGAAACTTAGAAAATGTACCACTAACTCTAAGATTCTGCTTAACTTTTATGGCTGCACCATTGAGAGTTTACTTGTTGGTTCTGTGTCTGTGTGGTTTGGAAACATCACAGATAAAGAAAAGAGAGCTTTAAACAAGGTGCTCCGCTCTGCAAAGAGGACCGTGGGCTGTGAGCTTCCTGTTCTGGAGGTTCTTTATAA